GAAACATCAATGATGAGAGAATCCCTGGGGATCGAGAGCCTGCAAACCGGGCATGTGCCCTGACCAGGAATCGAACTGTGACCTCCTGGTTCATACGTTGATGTTCAACCCTTGAGCCAGGCCGGCTGGCAAGCCTGCAACTCCTAAATATGAGGCCTGATAAGGTGTGTTGAAGCATCCATCTTATATAAGAACTGTTGTTTGAGATTTTAACCCTCTATTTCTGGCTTCTATAAATGCTTGCTGGCTTAAATAATAAGGAAAATAAGACTGCTCCCATTTCAGAGAGGCCATTAAACCTTCCCCGGACGAAGTTATCAGTGCTGGCACCAGGCCAAACCCTTGGTCGAGGTCTCAAAGCCCCAGCACATAGGGCCCTTTAAGAACTTGCAAAGGGAACCGGGAAAACCCCATATAAGGGAGACAAAGAAGGTAAAATCGTATAAATAGGAGAAACTTCGTGTGCGATACCACCCAGAATTTGAGATACATTTCCTCTGGGCCCGTGCGTAGTAAATGTAACTCCATCTCTCTAAGCATTGCTTGGTTCTTCTCTGGGTTTTCTGTCACAGTGTGACCACCACCAGCTCAGGACGCACCTCTAACACCCAGAAAGCTCCCTGTAGCCACCGAATCGCTGTTCAGACTCGCCCGCCCTAGGTTAGTTTTGCCCGTCCTTGAACCTCCCGTCCACGTAACTGCAGCCGACGTCACGCTGGCCTTGGGATCTAACTTCTTCTGTTCAGCCCTCCGTCCGTGAGGCGTATCTGTGTCACCGTGTGCGGTGACAGTCTGTCCTGTCTGTCGCTGTGTGGCCTTTCATTTCACGAGTAACGCACCGTTTCTCTCTTCTGTTGGGGGGCATTTGGGGTGCTTCCCCCTGTCCTTTTCTCTTGTTGCTTCCTCGGCCCCCAGCTCAGCAGGGGCTGGTGGCAGTCCTTGCATTTCTCCCATTTCTCTCGTCCTCACGTAAGCCCGCGATCAGGCCATCCACGTGGTTCCACACCCACCTGCCCCGCTCCCCCGCCCCCCC